CCTGAGTCTCCAGATTCCCTGTTTTTAGGTTGCTGGTAATTCACAGTGATTTCGATGCTTTAGGTTATGTAATTCACGAAAAACACAACGTAAAAAACAACCTAAATTAATTTAGGTTACAACCTAAATAAATTTAGGTTACAACCTAAATAAATTTAGGTTGCAACCTAAATCTTTTTAGGTTGTAACCTAACTCCATTTGGTCCTGAAAACTATCATGCTTTTATAACACAGAATAATAAGTTTCTTGTGTTTTGTTGAATCCTAAATCCATTTGATCATCAAAAATGACATGATAATAGAACAATAATAGTAAGTTTCTTGTGATTTCTCGAATGCAAGATGTGGCATTTTTGCTTGCGAAGATGTGGCTTGGATGCAAGTCGGGGGCAGTTTTACTTGTGTTTGGACATGTGCTGCTTCTGTTTCTGCACACAGCTGGCAGTATATGTGACTTTGTTCTTGTGTTTTACATGCGAGACCGTGGCTTGGAAACAGTTTTGTGTCGGAGTGATTTACTTGACTGCGACAATGTTTTCCCACACAATTCGTTTCACGGAAAGGACATTTTGCTCTGAAAGACTCTGAGCTGTCATAGTTTTGCTGCCTCCTTTGGTACCTTGTACAGAAAGTTTCGTGTACCATATGGCTGCTCTCGATGCGATGATGGAAGTCAAACAGCGAGAGATTGAGGAGGCCAAGGAAGGGGGTAAGACACCGGCGAAAAGATTGATCGCTGATCCCACCATCTCGGTCGACGACATCGCCAAGGTGCTCGGGAAATTCCTCGAATTCAAAGGATCAAAGGATTTGTGGCCTCTCATCTCTCCACCACCAGGCGGGCCGAACGATTTTCATTGGCATACGCCTGTCAATGGCGACTGGGTGGCAAAAGCATCCGGCCTCCTCTACGACTTGCTCAGCCTCGCACCCAACACCAAAGTCCTGGGGACCAAAGTGGTCGCTGCTTTCCGGTTCCTGCACTCCAACAAGTTTTTGGTGTTGCCAGAAAATCGGACCCAAGCCCACCTCGATCGCATGGACATGGCCATCCGACTGCTCTTAAACTTTTTGAAGAAGATGAAAATGAGCGAAGCTTTGAAGACCAGGGTTACAAGAATGCTTGGTGCAAGCGATGTTATGAGAATCAATCTGTGCCTTGAGAAAATCGAACTTCCCTCTTGGTATGTTGGCGAAGACGATAATGAAGGAGCTACTCCCCGCCGCAAGATGTATCTTTGCTTGCTTTAAGTATACGGTAACATGCTTTTCTGTGCTGTATGTCTAGGTATGTCGCCTTTTTTTTACCTTTTTTTCGTGATGTTTTATTGTTTTACATATACAAGTGCAGTTTCACCGCCAGGTCCCAGGCCTCTGTGGACAGCTCCTTGGGACCTCTCGCCGTGGTGCCTTACGAGGGGCGAGCAGAACCTGAAGCCTCCCAGCCACGAGAACCTGAGAAACCCTCAGCCTTTACCGAGCCTCCTCTGAAAAAGCCCAAGCAAGCAAGCAGTGTGTCAGCAGCAAGACCCGTCGATCTCCCGAGCATGCCCAGCATCTTCAACAGAATCCTGGGTGGGAAGGGGCAGGCAGCAAAGATTCAGCAGCACAAGACACCCAAGACTGAGACAAAGCCCGTCGAGCCCCCCAGCAAGAACACGAAGAAAACATCCGAGCTGTTGTTGCTGGAGTCCATGAAATTTGTGCCCAAGCAGGTCGCCGAAGTCACCGGAAAGAAGACAACCGGCAAGAAAGCCATGAAGGTGAAGAAGGTCATGAAGTCCATGAAAAAGGCTCCCACGAAGGCTATGAAGAAGGCTCCCATGACCCCGAAGGCCATGAAAGCCCCCATGCCCGAAGGCATGACAGCCCCCATGAAGGCTATGAAAGCCCCCATGAAGGCTATGACAACCCCCATGAAAGCCATGCCGAAGGCAGCGGCGGGTTCGAAGAACTTTAAGTTTCAGTCTGAGAAGTACGGCTTGTGCAAACTGGAGATGTACTCTGAGAAGTCTTACATTCGACAGATGCTGCCGGGAGGTGGTTTCAAGTCCGTGGTTTCATGCTGCACGAAAGGGGTTCATGCTGATGTTTGCCGTCAGCTCGTCCCACATGTGGAGAAGGGACTGTGTGTGCCGGAACTGTACAAAATCAGAGAAGGCCTTTTGTCGAACCTTTGAGTAGCTCAGCCGGAATCGGCTGCTGGAAAGTCTGTATATAGGTAGCCTCGTTTTGTGCGATGAGAGTTTGTTCACGGGGATCGGGCCGCACAGCACATCGTTCGCAGAATGATGACAAGGCCTGCTGGGTCTGCGACACATCGAGGTGTGTCTGTATCTTGGGGATCTCCACACGAGGATGCAAAAAAAAAGAAACTTTTGTGGGCTTCTGCTTTGCTTTTGCCACATATGTGCTTCTGTTTTGCTTGTGTGCCACATGTGACATATATTTTATCGTATGTATTATTACACTTTGCAATAAGGGATGTTGACGATAGGCCTTTATGTGCATATCTATATGTGTATATACATATATACACAAAATTTACTTGTGTGCTCATTTTGAAACCCCACAAACCCTCCATACCTGTTGAACCCTAAACCAACAGAAGTGCTTAGCTTTGCCTGTTCATCTTGTGTATATATAGTCTGTGGCATGCTTTACTTGTGCAGCCACTGCCGAACCGCACACTGTTGCAAAATATATGCTTCCCTCGGCACATGTGAGCTGCTCGAGAAACACATTTTCATGTGTTCCTGAGACGGTCTTCGCTTTACAGAATGTTAATTTGGTGTGTGGGGATTCCAGGTTACTTGTGCAGGAGCCTCTCTCTTTACTAAGGGTATGTGCATAAGAAATCGGTCTCATGTGTATGCAGCATTTGCTGGTCGCAAGATGGTGTTCTCTGATTTGGCCTTCATGTTCCCCACAGTGTTCAGGGCTGGAGATCACATGTTCAATTTTGGAGATGTGGACTTTTTCGGTGTATATTTTGTATTTATCCATCTTAACCCTAAACCCTAAAC